CTTGTCGAGAAAAATGACTCGAAAGAAACCCAAATCTAGAGGAAAAAGACTTGAGAGAAAACCACCTCTCGAGAAAAGAAAACTCGAGAGAAAATGAAAAAAGACTCGAGATAAATCCAACTCTCGAAAAAAAAAAGACTCGAGGAGAATCCCATCATTCGAGAAAAAACAACTCGAGAAAAAATCACCTCTCTAGTAGTGATGGCGCGAGACGAGAGAGGTCCCAAAACTTGCCAAAGCAATTTAAGTGATCCGTTAGGTAGTAATCCCTTTTGTTATTTTTGTTGAAGTTAGTAACTAGTCCACAAGTGCGTCGATATGAGGGAGTAATAGGGGTAACTGCTCCCCCCCCCAATAATAATAATTAGTAAATAGTAAATAATACTTAGTAGAATAATTATTATCAAATTTCACGAAGGAAAGCAAATATTTCGTATTGTCTCTCTTAAATGACGAGTTGGAACTTTCGTTTCAAAAATGGATAATTACCACTGATGAAAATTTTTCTAGTTCGCCCGTATCTGCTTTACAGGTTTGCTATAAGTATACTTATCCAAATCTGTACTTACGAGGTGTGGCAGAAAAGTAATGAGACTGAATGTTTACTTTGCAAAGTTTTTATTTCTTTCAAAGTAGTTCCCTTGGGCAGCTACACACCGATGGAGACGTTATTCCCACTCCTCGTAGCAGCGCTGGAAGTCTTCAACCGTTATGGCTTTCAGCATGTCCGTTACAGTCTTTGGATGATTTCTAAAATCCCGAAATGACGGCCTGTGAGGACATTTTTTAGTTTAGGAATAAGGAAAAAGTCACAGGCACTGAGGTCAGGGGAATAAGGGGAATGGGGAACCACAGGAATGCCTTTTGAGGTCAAAAATTCTGTTATGGAGAGGACAGTATGACATGGGGCTTGTCATGATGAAGCAATCATTTCTCTGCAATGTCTGGTCTTATGCAAATGACCCTTTTTCTGAGCCTTTATCTTTAAAAGAAATAAAAACTTTCTGCCACACCTCGTAGGTCTGTTTTTAAACTATGGCATGCCTATGGATGTAGCAAGCTTCGAAAGAAGTTTTTCAGCCCCTCATGGTTAAAAATGTGACTTAGATCAACCATGTAAAGTAAAAACATCTGTTTAAAGTCATTTATGCATTTAAATCCGTACATCCTGCCGATAAATTCTTATATAGTTCTTTTACCTTCATTCTCATTGAATTTTAAAATGTCTGTAAAGGGCTTTTATAAACGATAGAAAAAAAATTATATTTTATATGGCATTTTTTTACCACGTCTGTAAAATACCTGATTAATATCACAACCTCCGCAAAAGCCATGGATGAAACTGGTTGCGAAAAACTCATTATGTCACTAGTTACGAAAAGAAAACAAATAAAAAGTAAAACATTTTTTGGTTTTAAAATCAATAATATAAATTAATATTGAAAGTTTATATCAAAGCAGAACAGATTAAAATAAAAACATATACACACTACAAGCCGTTGAGAATAAATACTTAATATTAAGCTGTATTTGTCAATAAAATGACACATACGCAACTAACAATACAGGAAAGTAGTAATATTGGTTGCCTAAATAGCAGTAATTTCTCACCAAAATACACATTTATAAATAATACATATTCTTGAATTATCCATCACTCCCAGCAAAGGGTACTGAAGAGTACCTATTTCTAAGGTTAGATTATATTACAAATTATATGAAGAAATTTCCATACTTTAAAAACCAATTTACACGTCTTCGATATCTAATTATGTAATAGAGACCCCAATAAAGATATTCAAAAGCATCAAATAACATTTTTATTATCCTGCTGGGTGGCGTTCAAAAAGCCCATTCCGGACTTAAGAATTTGAACTGGACGCGCGTTGACAGCACACGGCGTTGCAAAAGGACGGGATTTAGGGATATCAATCACTTTTAGTGGCGTTAGGGTCAAGGGACTACTTCTATTCGATGCTGCCACGAGGGCACTTTAATGGAAAGCTAATGTGCTACTAATTCCCAGAATCCTATTCAAGTGAAACACTCAGGCCCATTTTAATCGATCTGACTGTACAGGATGTTGCGGTGTTAACGATTTTTATAAGCTTCATCGCATAATGCAATAAAATATTAGAAGAATTAAGGATTAGGGTATAATGAAAAGTTCTAAGAGCAGAAATTGTGACTTTTTACTTTATACCTTAGACCACAGAAGATATGTCATTGGGTAAATTATCCTGTGGGATATAGCCCACTTTTATATGTAGAAGGGGTAATAAAATTTTTTAGGGATCAACTAGGCTTTTGCGAATTACGTTTTTGGAGCCAGGCGTTAATTTTTTTCTTGGTGGCCAGTTTTTTTTTTGGTCCAGTGGTCATCTCTTGCTCTACTGTCCCACTCACATAGGAAACATGGGTATTTCGTATATCCGGATTATTGACTTAAAAGCAACCCCAAAATTTTAAGGTCACTACATAGAATCCAGTTATGTTATCTGTAGTTTATTCTTAAAAGCAGTACTTCAAGATTTTCGTAATTTTTTTTTAGCTGAGTAGAATGACCAACCGGGAACAGATGCATATAAATTGCCATTATGAAGTAGAACATCTTTAAGACTTCTCTTTGAAGAGTCTATAAAAAGTCGCCACTCGGCAGGATTGTATTCAGGAGCACTTAGGTGAATAACCAAGTCAGATACATTTTGACAATATACAAGTGAACCAGCTGCGGCTAAGTAATTGACAAATTCAGCCTCACGATTTATATACCAATAAAATGTAGTACCTGAGCAAGTAATTTTTTTCTTTAAGCCTTGATCCTAAAGCCTCAGAGAGGTCTTTTGGAAGTCCCAAATCCCTAAGTCATTCAGTTCTACTTGAGAAAATAGCTGCGGTTCACGAGTTCCTGAGGTAGATGGTTCAAAAATATCAATTTCTGAAGATTCTGATTCAATAGACTGTAATACTTTAGGTGGAACAGGTACAGGTATATCAGCGTCATGTGGAACTGGTCTTATTGCAGACGAAAGATTAGGACAGTTAATATACTTTAGAGATTTTGTGTTGTGACCTTTAATATCACAAAGACAAAAATAGCAGTCGTCAATGTGATTTTTAGGTTCTCTCCAAACCATTGGTATTCCAAACGGTAGAGCTTTTCTTGTTCCTTTAAATCTTGCAGATAACATGTGGCACCCAAGGTTTATCTTGATCTCTTAGTCTGACTTTAAAATATGCAAAATATGCATTTTTTACGAAATCAGTAATGTTTCTTTTACACTTCTTCACTATAAAGTGTCAACAAATATAACAAAAGTCATCAGGTCTATTTTTACAACACCTACTAGACATTTTTTTAATAGAAAGTGCACAACGAAACACCGATAGAATTCGATAGACAACGCCTGTCTCAATACCACGGGGATACTAAATATATCGCCCTCTTTCCTGAATAAATCGAGTCTCGGGAAATCCCCAACAATATTCTAGTAAGTACCGGTAAATCCCCCTACAAATGCGCAAATTAAAACGAGGTTTTAACGCGTCTCAACGTTTTGAACAAAAATAAGGAATTCAAATTAATTTGTTTGTGACGTTCAGGGATAATACCCTTGTTACTAGTTTACAAAAAAAGTTTACGTGATAGAATAAAAAGGGGGTTATTTTAGCTATATAGAAGTTATAAATAGGTGAAAAAAAATAAAATAAAATGCCTAAATCACAAAATTTCGCGGGCTTGTGTAATATACCAAACGTTGTTCCTAACTGAAAAGGGAATTTTTTCGTTTATATATAAATAACCAAGTATATGTGATTGTTCAAAATGACAATAGATGAAAAATAATATAAAACATCATGTATATCTTGAAAAATAGATAAACTGGCCAATCTAAAGGAGTTATCAGCCACAACTTGTTTACATCTTTTTAAAATTATGTAATACTTATATTTTTGCTTTAAATTAATATAACAATATTTTTTTATATTAAAAATTATAAACATGTAGTAATAATGTAGTCATTAATAAAAATTTTGATGAAAATCATTATTACATTTATATTAAAAGTATGAAATGTCCACACTCATGGTGCAAACGACAAAATGTACCCTCACCGGAAAGCTTACTACGGCAGAGACCATTACCGAATTCGTGAGTTCGAAAACAGCAAATCTTTAGGGTCTATTTATACTCCCTTATTATTAGTATTTGCATTAGTATTATGATTAAGCATTAAGTTGAACCTTCACAATGTAATGGGGACATTTATACTCGATTTATGATTAGTATTAGCATTAATATTTATGCTTAATAATTGACAGGTTCAACTTTTAAATTAAATATTAAATTTCTTCTTTTCTATAAAATGAATCAATGGAGTATTTGGCCTTTGTTTTCAATAGACAACGGATAAGGATAATTGACAACACACATATGATTATTTTGTTTATTTGTTTGTTCCAACAAGCTCGAAAACGATAATATTTCGGTACAAATCATGCTCTGTATACAATTTTTGTGTATCAGCAGTGTTTACCGATTATAAAGTTAACAAATGACATGTCACCATGAGGAAGCAAAGGCCTCTTTTCTGTCTGATTTGTATCAAATTTCTGCTTCTTTTTATCTGTTATAAATTTGAGACTTAAATCCGTTAAAATGTCCTTAATTAAACCTATTTTTGAATAATAATATTTTTAGATAAAATTAACTAGTAAAAATATTAATAAAAACACATTTAAAACTAAAATATCTTAAAAAGAACACAATCGGCCTCTTACACATTTCTTCAGTAACCATATATTTTGTTGACTGCAGAATTATATCTTATTAGGTATTATGTTTAAAAAAGAATTACTAATACTAATTATAAAACGAGTATAAATACCTTTTTTGAATGATTTAACAAATTTAATGCTTAATCATAATACTAATACAAATACTAATACTAAGGGAGTATAAATAGGCCCTTACTCGTTTTCACTCCATATCTGACTTCTCTCCATGCTCAAATTGTTATAATTTTATAACGTGAAGTTAGCAGTAGAGCGATCGGAGTATCAAACGTGATTTGTCGAACTCACCTAAATCTACCATTTGACATTTCCTCTGACATAAACATGTTTATATAAATACATGTGAGATAACCTAACTTTTTAAATAAATTTTCGATTTTTGTAATAATTTAAGGAAATGTAAGTATTAAAAACATACTAATTAGTCAGGTAATGAAGTTTATATGAAACAATTGATTTCACTAATTTCTAACTATATACTATTTTGATTTTAGATAAAAGTGAACTATTTATTTATATAAAATCTAGGAGTATAACATGACTTCCTTTGATTTCAATTGGAAGAGCAACAACAAAACTCCGAAGGGTGCAATATTTGCCAAAAAGAGAAAGCCATCGCAAGGTAACAGAGAAGTTACACAAAAATCAATTGACCTAAATCAAAAGATACCTAAGAAAGGTAAGAAACACAAACTTGATTCAACTGGCAGTTCAAATATTTTAGAGAAAAAATCAGAAACTACAGGTAATGAAAGAAAACAACTCAAAAATACTTTCCAAAAGGCAGTAAAAAAAGATAATCCAATTAAGAAAGTAAAAGACTATCATTTAAATGCAGATGAGACTAACTTATCGATACAAGAAGTAAATCAATCTACAGAAAATGAGGTTAGTAATAACTTTTCTAAACCTTTTAGTAAACAAGGTAGTAGTAATCAGCCTCAAACATTTATCAAACGCAAATGGAAAAAAGATAAAATAGCAGCCAAAAAAGCATATGCAGAAGGAAAAACTAATCAAAATGAACCTAAAAAACATTTAACACATTCGCTATTCGCTGTTGGACAAAAAGATATTTATGTTAAGAGTAACACCAGAGCCAAATCAGTTGTAGAAGAAGTATTTAGTGCTGATAAGAAATTTAGTGATTTAGACATTCATAAATATATAGTTTCTAATTTGGAAAAAATTAATTTCACAACTGTAACGACTGTCCAGGAAAAATCTATACCCATCATTCTTAAAGGTGATAATGTTTTGGTGAGTATTGGAATAATATTGTAGGTTATGTTATTACATACATTTGAATTGTTTTAGATTCGATCCCAAACAGGGTCTGGAAAGACATTAGCATACGCCATTCCAATACTGGATGCCTTACAAAAGATAAATCCAAGAATACAAAGAGGTGATGGAGTACAGGCCATCATCATTGTTCCTACTAGAGAACTAGCTTTACAGTCCCATGAACTTTTTGGAAAAATCAATGTAAGTTTGTGACTAAAAATTAATTTAATAATATTTACTGGCAGTGGTTCAAAATAGAGAATATTTTTTTTTTAATTTTTTAATAGTTATGAGTTACAATAATAAATAAGTTACAATAAAGTACAATAATGGAAACCAATTATATAATAACAAGCACCTAGGTGAGAACACCTGTATGTGCTGACAAAAATTAAAATTTTATTTAATGAATTATAAAGGAAATAAAAAATAAAACTTGAACAATTTATGCAAGAAACAGAAAAAAAACTATTTAAAAAAAAATCCATGTATTAAGTCCGTTATTTTTGAAATATTCTGATAAACTTTGCATTATTTTGGAAAATGTATATTTTGCTAACTTTACAGAATTTTTTATATTTGTTTAATAATTTTATAAGAAGAGGTAGAGCGTTATAGAACTTTGTCACTAGATAATTTACACTGTTTTTAAAAAACTCACTATTTGGTTTTGGTACTTTAATGCACATGTTAGATGCAGTTCTAATGTTGTCTATGTTCTAAATGGTTTTTTAAAAATTCATTTTTTTGGATATAACAACACACTGTGTGAATATATAAACATCTAACATTGCTAATTTTTTCATTATATAAAGTTATGAGGGACACAATCTAACTCTTTTATATATTAACTTCAAGATTTTGTTTTGAATAACATTTAACCGAGGGGCAAATCACTCTTTGTAAAAATGTACATGTATTGCCGAATTCATATGATTTCCGCAATCATATGGCGATTTCTGGATGACTGCGGCGATTTCTAGATGACTGCGGCGATTTCTGGATGACTGCGGTGATTTCCACATGACTTCCGACAGATTTCCCGTGACTGCGGTGATTTATGTATTGACTGCAACGATTTCTCTATTGATTGCGGCAATTTCCCTATTGATTGCGGCGATTTACTCGTACGTATGGATTGTTAGTATTATTGCAAAATTGCACGCATTCCGAAGGATTTCTACGATATTGTATGGCTTACCAGTTGGTTTCCAGTAAAAAAGCATTAGCTAGGTGTTTCATCAGAAAAACTAAATTTTGTATAGCGCATGTATAGGTGCTAAATACAATGCATTGATTTAAAACTAAGTGTGTACGACAAATTTATCAATAAATCAACTTTTTGTACGTTTTTTATTCATTTAAAAGATCAGTTTTAATTGATGTGATACCCGAAATATAAACTTCTATGTAGGTACTTACATGCCTCCATTATTAGATATCTTTGATATGCCTAAATGAACAAATAGGTACAGGTAAATAAAACAAGTTAAGTAATTAAGTAATTGGAGGTTTTTTATTTAAAAATTTCATAAAAGTGTTTTTTTAGACGTTTACAAATTTTATTGATGTTTGTTTCTAGTTTAAATGGACCAGATCCAATTGAATTGATGGGTCCGTAAAATATTAATTTATTTTTAACAATTTGAATGTCGTCTTTTTTTGGCCATAAATATTCTTCAAGTTCAGATTTAAAAATTTTTATTTTACTAGTGGTTTCATCAATTGTTTGAACAATTTGACCTATGTATCACGACTCGTAAAGAATTGCGTAATATTGTTCGTTCCTAATTAAAATGCCATTGATATTTTTCTGGAGCAAAGTGTTTTCACCGGTAGTTTTTTCACTTTCTGTTACATCTTTGTCATTGTAGTTATTTGGTATTTTAGCTGTGTTTTTTCTGGACTTGTTTTTTTTTTTGTTATTTAGTACTGCTGAGGATGTTCCTTTTACACGAGATAATCTGTCAGTTGAGAAGCGCCCGTCTTCAGTGGAAAATAACCAACAAAGAGCTGATTTTTTTACCTTGATTTTTTTGTTGTTCACAATTATGTTTAAAAATGAGGTATCAGAATCACTTTTTGTCTAGTAATTTCGAAAATCCTTTATATTAAGATCTTCCAATCCATAAAAAATGCTCTTTTCATTATCTACATCATATATGGAAACTTAAGTTTAAAATTTAATGTTTTTTACTTTATCCGTTTCTGATTTTTCTTTAAAATTCGAAATTTACACATTTTCTTAAATATCTCGAATACGGTCCATTTTAGAGAAATTATGTATAGGGCAAAAATTATAGAGAATTATATTACAAACAACTTTTATTTGAACAATTTTTATAAAAAAATATTTTTTTTTACATTTTGTCAAATTTCTCGAATACGGACCAAATTTTGTATAGAACAAATTATAGATAATAATATTGTAAGTAACTTTTATTTGAAAAAATTTCTTCTCCAAACGTAAATAACAGATATATTCCATAAAATATAAAAATGATGACTATAAAGTACCCTCCAAATGTTCCGACTCTGCCCAAAATCTAATCAGCTAATTGGACGCCGGAATAAAGCTTAAAGTTTAAAATTTGGTGTTTCTATTTGTATCCGTTCATGAGTTATCGAGGATACAGACACACACACAGACATCATCGCGAAAATAGTCAAAACAGATTCAGGATACTCCAAAATTCAAGGTCGAAAAAATCATGATTCCTATACTTTCCTTATCTGTAAACAGATAGGAAAGTAAAAATACATTTAAAACCCTAATTAAAACGTGTATCACCACAACCCCCATAAAATACCAACAATTTTGTTATACATTAAAAAAAAACTAGATGAAAAGGGACAATTTTCGACCACCTTGTAAAATCTTGTATACAAGTAGATTTAGTGTCTAAATTTATCCTAAAAAAACCTTCAAATTCCAAAATGTAAATTTAACTTAATAGTTCTTGCCTCAAAATGCACGGAAGGACCCTTTCGATAAATGTAAACTGCAATTTCTTTACACAAAATGGTTTAGATGGCTTAATCAAAGCACCCTACATCAACAATGGCTAATTGGTTAATGTCACCTTACTTCGCGCGATTTTTAACGATTGTTAGTGATTGCTCAGTGACTGCTAGATAATTCGGGGGACTGCAAGGGAATTCGGAACGACTGCGAGCGAATTCGGAACGACTGCGGCGATTTCTTAGCGATTGTCACTGATTTTGATGAGACTGCGGCGATTTTCAATGGGATTGCGGACATTTTGTACACGTATTGCGGGAGTGATTTGCCCCTCGCATTTAACTGATTTAATGTAGTTCCATACAGGCCTCCCCATACTAAGATTCCATACTGTAGTATAGATTCTACTATACTGTAGTATAATGTTATTAGTAGATCCTGGTTGAGAAATTGTTTTAGAAGATAAATTTATAAATCAGAAATCTAAGTTTTTTTGTTATATATATTATATGACAGTCCCATTTTAAGTGCTGGTCTATAATTATACCTAAATATTTGGATGTTTCTGTTTCCTGTATGTCTAAATTTTGACATGTTAAGCTTCTAAATTGAGGTCGATCAGCCACTGTCTTGGAAAAAGCAATGTAGTTTGTTTTGTTAACATTCAAAGACAATTTAAAAACATCCAGCCAGTTTTTGACATGTTCCATTCCAGCTATAACACGTGTCTTAACAGCTTCCCAATCTTTATCACTGAAGACTAGCACTGTATCATCAGCATATGATACAACTTTACCTTGAATATTAATCTGAGTTAAGCTCTTAATGTATAAATTAAATAGTATAGGTCCAAGAACAGTCCCTTGAGGCACTCCGAGTTGTATATTTTTAGGGTTACTCACATTGTCTCTGACCTTTACCTTCTGTTGTCTGTGTGTCAAATAATTTTCAAAAACCTTCAACACGATGCCCTTCACTCCATTCTGTTCAAGAACATTTAAGAGCTTCTGATGTGGCACCGTGTCAAATGATTTTGCTAGATCTAGAAATATAACTATACACTTGTTACCAGTATTCATTTCAGTAACATATGAAATTAATTCATGCATAGCATCTCGTGAGTTAAGACTCTCAGTAAAGCCATATTGGTGCTAGGGAAGTAAGTAACACAATTATTGTTTAAAAGAAATAAACAAAGTATAGAAAGAAAACTATATTATTATTGAAAATAACAAACAGTAGTAAAAAATTAAAAATATTTTCTAATAGAAAAAACAAAAGTAGTCTAAATTAATTTACACATAATTTATTAAACAGAAATCTAACCTCTCTTCAAAACTTTTTTTTATCATTATTATAAAGAGATTTACGGTCGATCTTTTCACCTCTGAGTAAAGTTACATGTAGGCTTACTTGACAGATTAACAAGTAATTGCCCTATAGTTTAATCAGCAAGTAGTTACTTTCAACTTTATTCAGAAGTGAAAAAACTGGCCCTTAGTCAAGTTGTTTCAAAGGTTATCAACATGAACAGACTGAAAATAATATGCTTAGTAAATTTGATATTAGACAGAGATTGAAATACAGACTAAAAATCACTTCTAGACATTCCAATGGATAGTTACCGGGCATCTTTGTGGTGGGGAGAATCGAAACACCGAGAAAACAAGACTCAGAAAAGGTGTGCACATATTGATAGCAACCCCTGGTAGGTTATTAGATCATATGCTGCACACAAACGCCTTTAAGATACACAATGTGAGGTGTCTGGTTTTGGACGAAGCTGATAGACTATTGGATATGGGATTTAAGAGGGATATTGTAAGGTAAGTAACAGAATATTGATTTTTGATCACCTGTATAACTTCAAACAACTAATTCATTAACATAATATAAAAGTATCTGGATCGTTACGATCCTATATAATATTTATTTATTTTAATTGTATCCAAATAAATAGGTTATTCGCGTCAAAATTGTTTTCACTTTACTCATTATAAGTATATATTTGATGAACCTATTCCTAAACCTTATGACCCGCCTCTGGTTTTGCTTTTTCTGTTTTTATCATTTTTTATCCAAAATCGTGCCTTCGAATATTTTATGGAACTAGCCGAAGGACAGTACGAGTTTTGCGACAATCGGTACCACATTGAATACAAAATATCACCAATTGTGTTGGTTGCACGAGAGTTTTTTTTCCTATTTTCCAAAGAATCCGAACTATACCTTGGTAAGTCAAGGAAATAATAATTTAATAATACGATTTAAATACAATAACAAAAAACAATTAATGCCACACAATTTCTCCTAACATAAAAAGCAGTCCACTCAATTTTTTTACTTGGTAACGAACCAGTATCATTTTTAAACTTTAAATAATTTTGATAATTTTAGTTACGCAGTGGAGGTGTAGAATCAAAAATAAACACTATACTAATATTTCATTTTATTTTTTGCGAGTATTAATTTTAACAAAATATCGACATATTACAAAAAAATATGACACACGACATATGTATGACATTATTGATAGTCAGGTTAACCAACCTCTACAAAAATAAAGTAACTAAATTTAGATTTGCCATTATGCGAATAAATGTCGCTGCTTTGACAATAATGAATTTTGATTTACTTGTTCCTGTAATATCAAATGATCGATACAGAGCCCTAAAAACTTATTATAGGTTCTTTCGTTCGTCCCACTGGTGTAGTTGGGTGTAGTAATAAACTACACCAACCCACACCCATACCTTTCGTTTGGTCCGGTGTAAAACCCACTATACCTTCCTGTCGGCGATGTGGTGTATACTGGTGGATATTTTCTCCACCAGCTATTTAGCAGGAGTGAATTACACTCGACGATGTGTATAAGGAATAAGGAGGAAGTAAATTATGGTAAATAAGGTGGTGTAACTGGTGTAATTTACACTGGTGGACACTACACCAATAGCGAACGAAAGAACCTAATATAAACTATCATCAATTTTGAGATTGTCCATCAAAATGTTTGATAGTTCACATTTAAAAAATACAATTTTAGTTATTTTTTTTTTTCAATATTAAATAATAAACGTTGGGTTCACACCATCTCCTAATATATACAATGTCTGTGCTAATATTAACTTCCAAAACTGCGCCCTTCTCATTAGTCCATAGAATGGTGTTATCATCCGCAAAAATACTGAAAAATCTGTCAATATTAACATTTAAATAAAGTAAAAATAAAATGGGGCCTATCACTGATCATTGTGGAACACTGCAGTGTATATTAGCTTCACTGGAGCGATTACTGTTCTGAGAGATACACTTTGAGACAATGCATGGGAGTGACATTTCTCTTTCTTACTTCCCCATTGATATTACTCAAAATCATTTCTTTAGGATTGAATGTGTAATAATAAGGTGGCAAACGTATAAAAAGTATGACAATCTTTTTGCCAACTCATCAACAATATATATGGGTTTAGGATTTAATTCCTCCAGCATAGGCAATAGATCGATCTTTTTTTTAAAACTGGTAGGATATGTTATATCCATATTATTTAAAAATGAAGATATAACCTCTTTGCGAGCTTTGGCTTTTGATATTTCACATGTTTGTCGGGAATGGTAGGGGCATTAACCATGACTGTAACCGCATTTGATGGCAAATTTGAATATCAGTTGGTTTTCAAACCATTGCTTGAACAAACTTGAAGACATCTTGGTAATAATCTGCATAGCAATTTAGGATGTTCTTCGGCGATAATAGCAAAGAATTTGCTACAAATCCATTTTCATTGTCAGTATGTAAAATAATTATTATCTTTCCCATTTTTAATCGCCGGTTTTAAAGATGCTAAACCGTTCTATCAACAGCCATATTGGATTGTCCTGATAGGACATCGCATAATTGATTCTTGTTCACTTTTACAGAATAGTTGAAGAGCTCGACAATACCAAAACGAACGCGGAATACAACCCGATGGCGATCTTAAAAAAAACTCACTTTACTGACGACGACAACAACGAAACCGCCATTACGGACTCGCGGAAAGCAACTGGCACCGATTTAATGCCGTTGAAAGATCCAAATAGCAAAACCAGACAAACTATCTTGCTTTCAGCGACTCTGACACACGGTATAGCAGAACTTGCCGATTTCACGATGAAAGAACATACTTACGTCGACGCTTTAGAGGAATTCGGCGAAGCCAATCCGGACATGATGGTGATACCGAAGACAGTTCAACAGAAATTTATAGTAACGCATGTAAAGCATCGTCTATTCACTTTATCAGCTCTTCTAATATCTCAAGTCAAAGCTAATTCTAAAGTGTTCGTATTTATGGGTACCAGTAGCATGGTGGATTACCATTACGAATTGTTTACTAGGTTCCTGGTGAGGTTACCGAGAAATCGAGGTAAATTGAAACGGGATAACGTTACGATTTTGGAAGATATGGAAGACGATAGCGATGATGATGAAGAAATCGTTGCCAATATGGAGTTTTTCAAGTTGCACGGCAATATGGACCAGAGTGCTAGGAAGAACGTTTTTACCAAGTTTAGAGCTGCTGAAAAAGGGGTGCTGATTTGTACAGTGAGTATTAAAAATGTTGTCATTTCATTTGATTACTCGCATAATAGGCAATTTTAACATTTTGTTTTTATTATTATTGATATTTGAGTACATAAGGTCTAGGTGTAGATCTACCGCTTATATCACATTATTATTTTTTACCACGATGTAATGTGACACTTCCCAACCTTCAATGACGATAGTAATGACAGCATTACATATATTCTTTTAACTTTAAAAAACAAACGTAAAAATCCAATTAAAAAAAAGTATGAACCCTAATAACGCGTTATACCTCATCGAGCTCTTATGACCGCTTGCATTCGTTTGGGCAAGCTTGTTTTCAAGTTCTGAATGGTTGTGTGCGGAATGTTTTCCCATTCTAACAGAACATCAGGCTCCACATTTTGCAGGTTGATTGGGGCAGGTACATGACGTCCGAACTTATTTTTTCAGAACATCCCAAATTGGATTCAAATCTGGACTTCATGGTGGCCACTCTAAGATTTGATTATTAATCTCATTTAGGTAATCTAGCACAGGTCTTGCGATGTAAGACTTTGCATTATCTTGCATAAAGATAAATGTATCCCCTATAAATGGCGCAAATGGCATAACATGGTCTTGAATAATATTTTCTAGATAGAATTCTGCATTCATAGAGCTCGGACGAATGGGAACTAATTCTGTGCGTGCGACAAAACAAATTTCTCCCCATAACATTTTTAATTCACCATCAAATGGTTCCCTTGAAGAGATAGTGCAATCACAAAACCTTTCTTCAGGTCTCCGCCATACTCATCACGACCGTCTGGAGATTTTATACTCTGGTTTCATCTGTAAACAAAACTCTCTTCTAGTCATCGACAGTCCAATGTGCATGATCTCTGGCGAACCTTAATCTGCGTGATCTGTGATCTACGGTAAGCAATGGTGCAGTGACAGGTCTTCTGCTAGCCAATCCGGCTTCTTTTAGTCTTCTCCTGAATAATTCAGTATAGTCGCAACAATTCAAAACTGACAAGAATACCTACTTGACATGAGCCACCTATGATTTTTTACAATAAACGTCAATATTGTCTTAAATAATCAAAATTAATCGGAAATTGTAAGTGGTGCGTTAATTTTGAACAGGAGTTTATATTACAGGGTGATTTATTTAAATTTCATCCGATGACGTCATATCTTCATAAATATGACAGATGACGAAAATCCCCAAGCGTCATAAAATATATGAAAAAATTTGTTCGAGTCAATTCTTAGTACAAATCATAATTGAACCACAAATCGGGTGTGCATACCTTCAAACAGCTTTTACAAGTTTCCAGAAATCCAAAAACAAAAAAATAATGTACATTCCGTTTTGTTTTTAGTATTATTATTGTTAAAAACAGGAAAGTGACATAGTCGATGAAGATGCTCTTTTAGTTAGTGACAAAAATTATTCTAAATTACTACATGATAAAATTTAACATACTATAAACTATAATGAATAGAATTATTTATTCCTTCTTCAAATTCTTTATTCACTCTCGCCTTGAACTGGTTTATGTTCTGAGCTGAGACTGTATGTTTCTGGTGACCATTCCACAGATATACAGTTCTGTTTGTAATAAAATTTTTTCTATGCAGTTTTATTACACGTTTCTTTATCTAACTTCTTCAAATGACCTTTAAGGTTTTTGATGTTCTGGTCTGGAAGATGTTATCACAGGTGTAATATCCGCTGATTTCTATCAAGTCTCCTCTAGTTCTTCTATCCTTTAAACTTGAAAGTTGCAGTTTTGCTAGTCAATCATAATACTCATTGTTTTGTAGGGTTTGTGGTTTTTGGTGACTCCTTTGTGGTTTTCCAGCAGTTCAATATCTTTAACAAAGTATGTATCGCAAGCGGTCTGTGTAAATTCTCTTTGGTAAGTTATGTACAGTTTGAGGATCATATCTTCGGAATGGTCTTTAAAAGCTCTTTTGATAAGGTAAATGAGACTGTTGACTTTCTTCACTATATTAGCAATGTGGGTTTCACATTTTAAGTCTTTAAATATGATTAGACCAAGGTTCTTTTGTGTTTCAACTGAAGTTATTGCGTTTGTACATATGGTGTACTGTCTGCGGGGATTATTTGGGCCAATATGCAGTACTGTACACTTATTTATGTTGAGGGATAATAGTCATCCATTGCCGGGATCAGATTCATATTTCATTCAAGTCTTGTTTCATTTTGTGAGAGCTTTCCTGTGGCTTGCAGTAGATAATAATAATAATAATAATATAATAATAACACACTCCCTAATTCACCCACTTACGAGTGAATTTCAACCTCTGAAGTCGACTGAACGACTTGTGTAGGGGAAGGGACGGCTATTATTATTATTTGCCGTGGCGCTTCGGGGCGACTTAAGGATGATTGATGGTGCCATTTGACTTACAGGTGAGGAAAACCCGGAAAACCTCACCCACCATCATCGAGACGATAATGTATGGCGATTTTATAATCTGCGTGTCATATCAATAGAAATTGAATTTTCTATTAATACGGCACACATCAAATCCTAAACCGAACCATGCAATTTTATTAAAAATCCACATGGTCCGGTCTGGGATTCGAAGCCCAGCAGTCTCGGACTCATAAACTTGCCTATAAATGAATATAAGCGCGTTAGACCGCTACACCATCGACCCGATAGATAATCTGCATAAAAGTTAAATTCGATGATTTTGCATAAGTCGCTAGTGTATAAAATAAATAATAGGGGACCTTAGACCGAACCAGAATATGTATTCAGTAATTTTTGCACGGAATAATCTACCGTCCCTCGTATTAAGCGCTCTTTTGTTAAACATAACTCGAATAAAAACCACTACTTATTATAATATACAGAATCGAAAAATCTCATTAATTTCCACGACTGATCCATTCGAAGTTTTGTAAATAACAAAAGGCATCCGAGAAACATGCGTTTCGTTTCGAGCGGTTCACCTGCGGCGATCGGAATGATACCTTTTTGTAGACGCGAAGAAAAACGTTAAGTGCGTCCTTTCATTGAGGAATGATACACATTTGATAAGTCGGAATTAAATTCGGTTGTTGAATGGAGAATAAATAACTAAACGAGTGTGATTGTCTCTCGGCAGGAGATCGAAAAAGGAGTGTAGATCATAGGGATTTAATCGGGTCGGTAGTGTAGCAGTCTAACGCGCTTATATTCATGTATAGGCAAGTTTAAGGTCCGAGACTGCCGGGCTTCGAATCCCAGACCAGACCATGTGGATTTTTAATTAAATTGCATGGTACGGAATAGGATTTGTTGTGTGCCGTATTAATATAAATTCAATTTTCTGTTGATATGACATGCAGATTATAAAATCGCCACACATTACCGTCTCGATGATGGTGGGTGAGGTTTTCCGGGTTTTCCTCACCTGTAAGTCAAATGGCACCATCAATCATCTTTAAGTCGCCCCGGAGCGCCACGGCAAATAATAATAATAGCTGTCCCTTTCCCCGCACAAGCTCAGCTTTTGGGATTAAAATTCACTCGTAAGGGGGTGAATTAGGAAGAATATTATTATTATTATTATTATTATATTAATACCAATAAAAAATGCATGTACAAAACGAATGTTGGTATAATACCATGGAGGAAGGATAATAATTAATAGTTACCGTTTTTTTTTTTTTTTTTGTAAAAATATGGCAACAAGTTTGTTATCAGCGCCATACGGGAGGGATTTGTCCAACTATACTCAGCTGGTAATATAGATAGCTACAATCTTTTATTTAATTTAAAAATTGGTGGAATTATGATTGTATTTCTACTTTAATTATAATTAAAATTTTTGCATTTTTATTGGCATTTTTGCAACACAGATAAAGTGCGAGATGTAACAAAATGCCAATCGAAATGTAAATTTTTATTTTAGAAAGGGTAAAATAATTGTAATATTAAATAATTATATTATCAATTATATTATATCATCAAAACTAGTAATAGTGGTAATACTCGTAATTATAGTTAACTTTGCCAGACAATACCAAATATATTATGGACTTAATTTTTTGTAGTTTTTCAATTTCATGGATTTGTTAGATGCAACACATTGATAGATATAGAGGAATGGAATTCAATATAGGGTCTAACAAAAAAACAATAAAGGAGTTTCAAACAATGAAGATTTCTAAAATCATCTGTTACTCTCCTGAGAAAACCAAGCATTCGCAGTAACGTATTCACTAGCGTAATGAAAATACTCAAAAATTAGACCAAAGCCCTGGACTTTAGTAACCTGAATAAGTAATGCTTGATAAATACAGTAAAAAAATGTTTGTTCAGCAACAGAAATAAAATCATATTAAAAGATAGTAGCAGAACTAGGTAAAATATCAATCAATAGAAGAAATATTAAATACTTTTATTACATAGTTGACTCCACTTTGTTGACTTTTCTTGATTTGGTACTGTGGTTGCCGAAACAGCGGGGCCACCAGCCTCTTCAGCGGCCACTTATGAAATCCAATATACCTAATCGTCACCAACGTAATTAACTACGCCGTTTTCAATAGACACCTCTGGCGGCGAATTTTTAAACGACTACTACAGTATGATTCAGCACGATCTTTTCCTATTTCAAGAATGAAAACCACAGAAATTTTAAGTAGGTAATTAATGCTTCTTGGACGAAGGACGAGGAAAATAACTATTGTAGTATTTTAACTATTTATTCAAGGCTCATGAACAGTACAATTTACAATAATCATTTTTAATAGTTTTTGGGAATATTCGAGGCCGACTCCTCGAATCTTTGGCAATCTAGACTACAAAAACTTAAAAATAACAGTATATACAGGAAGATACATAAATACATGTCATAATTTAGGGCATAATTTACTCGAAAAAATAATTCTAAAAATCTAATGTTTGGAGGATAAACTAAATATATACATTTTCCACATACATCCTACTCGAAACATTTTTTATTTATATTCATTGCCAACGAAAATACCGAAAATTTCTAATTTTACTCTTTTCCTTCAATTTTTCCATTACGGTCGATTAAAGAGAAATCATGAATAAAACAATAATTATAGAGATCGATATCGCAAAAAAACTTTTGGTTTAACAATTTTCTTAAAATTTTATTTTTTTACATTTTGCCAAATTTCTCAAATACGGTCCATTTTAGGAAAATTTTGTATAGAACAAAAATTATAGAGAATAATATTAGAAGTAACTTTTATTTGAAGAATTTTCTTCTCCAAACGTAAATAACAGATATATTCCATAAAATATAAAAACGATCCCCTATAAAGTACCCCTCCAGATGTTCCGACACTGCCCAAAATCTAATCAATTCATATCAGGCCATAATAAAGGTTAAGTTTAAAATTTGGTGTTTTTCTCTTTATCCATTTTTGAGTTTTCTTTAAAATTCGAAAAAATCATGATTCCTATACTTTCCTTATCTGTATACAAATAGGAAAGTAAAATAGTATATTACATTACGAGCATGGAAAATCACTTTTCACACAAGTGATGTACAATATTTTTCCTACGACCACAAAATAATTTCATTAAAAAATGTAAAACCAGATTATTATAATAATTAAAATGTATTTAAAAAAATAGTCAACAATAATTGTATTTATTCAATTTTCATATGTTTCGAAACAAAAATAAAAAAACTAAAATACAAAAAAAAAAAAAAAAAACAAAAAAAAATCTGTCCCTGCAAGGATTTGAACGCGGGTCGCTCGCCAGGTCTCAAATGGCAAAGTTGATAAAATTTGATACTCTACCACCTGAGCTAATAGGCTTTGCGTCACTTGAATAATCTAATCGGTTATGTGTTTAACCAGAATAAAAAGCAAACATAACTTAGTTATTTTAAAATTATTTTAATAATAATTGTTAAAGATAAATATCTAGGATCTAATTTATAACAATTTCAATAATTTAACAATCGTATCGATTTTAGTATTAATATGGACATTACGTAGATCAAAATAGAAATTATGCGTTTGACATTTTGTGACAGCTGATGCGGAAAGTAGCATATTCGCACACGGGTGCAAAGTAAATTCTTATTCATATGCGTGTGATATAGGGCACTTTCCATAGGACTATATAGTGTGATATGTGTCACTTTCCTAAGTGGTCGTAGGAAAAGTAAAAATGTACTAATTTAGTTCTAAATTTAGTATTGTGCCAAACAGCCTTTATATATTTACTTTTCTATCGGAAAAATTCTAAGAACACACATAGTTGTTACCAAACTGCAAAACAAAGATGTGCATACATATATTTTATATTTAACAGGTTATTTAGTTATTTTTTGTCGTGGAGAGATTTTGATTAAAAATAACTAATAATTAATAATAATGGCGTATTTTGAAACCTATTTTTAATGATATTTTCTAGTAAACTATGATTCTGATACGGTAAAAGGAATTCCAAAGGAATACACCTCCACCAGATGAAACAAAAAGATGTGGTTTCGTTTTTAAAAATTTTAATTAATTTTTTATATATCTCAAAATTCTTTCAAAAGTTGGAAAAATTTTATTTTCCGAAACATATGTTAAATAAAAAATTTTTAGTAACCGATATAACCAAAAAACATTAACAATAATGTAATAAAAGAAGCACCTCTCGGCGACATTGTCATTAAATTGACGGACATATTAAAAGAGGCCTAGCAGTTTAGAAGTATGCATAATGGACTTAGTGAGGATGCCATGGATGCAACCCACCCTCCGCACGTTACAGAACCAAAGAACATTAACATTTTCTAAAAAATTCTACTACGAACAGGAAATTATCATGTTTCGAAAAAAAAAAAAAATGTTATTATATTCAAAGATTTCAATGAACAATATATAATCATTACTATTCCAGGATGTTGTGGCTAGAGGTATTGACGTGCCGGCTGCTGACTGCATCATTCAATACAACGGACCACAAAGCATCGAAGATTATCTACATCGCGTAGGTAGGACTGGCAGAGCAGGACAATCCGGTACTTCATATATGTTTTTGACACACGAGGAACAAGATTTTGTCACCGAAATGGAAAAACATAGAGTATAGTAAGCAATTTCCTTTCTTTAATGTTTTATTATTGGTTTTGATACATCTATTGTTATTTTGTCAGTTGTCAAGCATCGTTGTCATAATTATTGACATTGTCAGTTGTCTTCTATCGTTGTCATCTGTCACAGTTATTGTCATTGTCAATTGTTCATCCATTATCATTTTGCCAATGGCCGCATTGAGCAGAAGCAATCGATTTATGATTTTCTGCTGAATGATATATAAAAGAGCGATTAGTAATCAAATGATGAGTTATCGGCCGCCATTTAAAACATCGAATTTGAAATACGATTAGTTATCACATCGTGATTAGATTTAGAACTCATACCAACTGAAGTGAATGTTTTGTGGTGGTGCTCATAACTCATAACCTTATTTTATGTTTATTTTGAATTCATTTTTACACTGAATTTGTCATTTTTCACTGAAATAAAGGACTTTGAAGTGATATATGTTTATAACAATATGAATATATTGTAGTTGGTAATGAAGTGTTGCACAATGCATTAAAATCAGGCAAATACATTAATTTATAATTATGTAGTTGAGTAATTTATTTGGTGTTTTATTCTAAATTTTGTACCTATGTTTTGGCTGAGTTCGGTTTGGCTTTAGCTGTACTCAGAGTGCACTTGGTATGCCTCAATTGTGGTCGTTTTGGAACTCAGAGCGTACTCTTTTGTGTTCGGCTTGCCACAGATCACGTACTCAGAGCGCGCTCACTCTTCCCCGAGTTGGCCGGTGGAGATCAACGGGTATCTGTAGGAATGTATCAAAAATGTCAAACGTCAATATTCTAATCTATTATTAATCAGTTTACACGTATTATTTCTTGTTTGTTTTTGTTATAACTATTTCCTATTTGACTAAAATTAATTTTTTACAGTCCATTCACATACACAAAAGTGTATTCAAGTGCAAACTATCACTAGTGTCATTTGTCATTCCCGTTGTGTTCGTCTTGAGATTGTAAAAAGAGCGAACTCTGTCGATGACGTCACGCACTCCTTGCGCGCTCTGTCCGATCCGTCGAGTTCCAAACCGAACTTACCCTTTAGATGAGATGACTTTTTCTGAAGTACATGTCACTTTTATGTCGCCTGTCGATGTGGCTAAAAAGTTCATTCAGGAGATTCACTAATCGATAAGTCATCGCTAAGTTATCGTTTGATAATCGGTTGCTTCTGCTGAATGCGGCCAATTATCGTTCATCATTGTCATATTTATTGTCCATTATCATTTTGTCAATCATCGTTGTCATCTGTCATAGTTATTGTCATTCTCAACTGTTCATCTATGTCTATGTCATTTGTCTAATTTAATTCTAAACAAGCATTTAAAATGATCTGGTAACTGGAGAAAGGTTTAATATTGGTTTTTAGTTTGCAGAAACAGGAGACAGATCAATTTTTAGAAAATTTAAGCGTTGTTATGGACCAGGAAGATCACGAAAGGGCCGCCATTGCTTTACAGAAACGTTTCGAAAACGCTCTAGAAAATGACAAAGAATTACACCGATCTGCTTGTGTAGGTAAGTAAGTAAATTAGTTATAATAGTTAATTATTCGTATGATTCGTATGTTTTCTATATTATATTTATTTTGTTTGTAGCTTATTGTTCTTGGTCGCGATTCTACAACACTTACTCGAACAAAATGCGGCCCATTTTCGATTTCAAAAAAGCCAACTTGGGCCACTACGTCGCCAGTTTCGCGTTGAAAGAAACGCCTACCGTGGTAGCTAAAATTGTTAAAGGACAATTCGTCAAAAAAGAGGCTCGCAGGTTGAATCAGAAGCTCCAGATACATATCGAGTAAGTAAAAGATATTCCTTCTATTATATTGATGAATTTTCTGTAAATTTGTTTTTTTTTAATGATTTAGGATCTTTGTAGAATATGAAACATCATCGGTGAATTTTGGTTTGTTTTTTGGATAATTGATAGAGTCATATTATTGATTTTTATAGACACATTAGAAGGAGAGAATCTAAAAAACGTAACAAATCATTAAATCTTTAGCTCTTCAGTTTTTAATCTTTTACAACGAGCTCTATTAACATGAAATAGGGTTGAAGAGAAAAGTCAAGCCCTAGAAATAGTCTGCAACCGAATTTACCTCTACATTAACAACATTTCGACTATTTTCAGGTAGAACCCGATAAGAACCGCGACCAATCGCTCGTCTAACACAAACAAAAGCGACCGGCGTTCTAACAATAGCGCCCGCGGATATTACAAATTGTCCGTGAAAAATGAGCTCCTCGTATATATAATAAGTCTCTGCGTGTTACATCGCGAAATAATCATAATAACAATAAAACGAATTATTTATGTGTTTAGAGGCAGCCCTTTGTGTGCGCGCCATGTGTCCGTTCCAAAAGTCAGGCTTTAACGCGATAATTAGCCCTGCATTAATCAACGGACGGTTTTACAATAACTAAAAAAAACGTACTGCTCGCCTGAGCTGCCCTTTTTCTTTGCTTTCGCCTTTCCTTTTGGAATTCTTTTATTATTCCTTGGTTTAATTATCTGACGGTAATACTGATTACTTTAATTCCCGCTCTAAATGTTTCAAAAAATAAAAATAATGTCAATGCATTCAGTTTGGTATCTCATGTTTTTTTCAATTACATTATAAAATTTCTATTTAATTAGACCTTTCCTCATACTTTTTCCTAATTAAATATTTATTTTATTTCATTATTGGTAAAAATTTCAACTTTAAAAAATACAACTTTTATTTATAGTCCGGTCAAATTAGACCAAAAAATAGGAGTGAGGATAATAAAATTCCCACCCAGCTGAAAATTGGTAGGATTGTTCAAAACACCATTATAAATGAAACCTGAAAAGTCCTCCTCATCAATCCGGCACCTGGAAAAATATTTACTCGGTTTGAATTTCCTGAAGATTTAAGTTTATATCTTTTTTGTTTTTGAGTTAGAATTTTTTTAACTATTTCAACCTCCCTATTTCTATTTAAATTGTTTTAGAATCAATAGGGATCATCCCCTTATAAAGATTTTCTTGTTTGATTTCTATTTTTTTTTTTTTTTTTTTTTTTTTTTTTTTTTTATTTCAATCCCCCTTAACTCTTCCATTTTAATCATATATTTTCAAAATCAATAATATTTTTCATTTTTGAGGTAGCATTTTTTTTAATATTTCAACTCCCCTTACCTGCCATTTTGATTCAATTTTTTTTTTTTTCAGAATCAATTAATTTCATTCCCTTATAGAGCTTGATTTTTCCTAAATATTTCAAGTTGATATAATTTTTCGTTTTTGAGTTAAGATTTTTTTAAATATTTCAACCCCTTAACACCCCCTTTTATTCAGATTTATTAAAATCAATAGTCTGTCCTTTCATAGAACCTGATTTTTAAACATTTCAAGTTGATATCATTTTTCGTTTCTGAGTTAGGATTAGAAGTTTTTTAAATATTTTAACCCCCTTAACTCCCTATTTTAATTCAAATTCTTTTTCGAATCAATTGACTTCATCCCCTTATAGAGCTTGATTTTTATTAAATATTGTTGATATCGCTTTTCGTTTTTTTATTTAAAAAAACAAAAAAAATCACCTGCTTTCTAATTATTATTTTAAATATTAAAAATACTATGAACAATTTCAGTCAGTAAAAATGTAATCCCAATTCTCTTAAAAGTCATCCAGTAAACTTTGGAAATAACACTATGTTTTTTTATTGTTTACTTTTAAGTTTTCGTTGTTGTCAAATTGATTTTGAACGTTTGCAAACTCTTTTATAATGCCTGATTATTCAAATAAAGTGATATATGATATGTGTAGCAGTCAAGGACTAAGAGTTCATGCTGGTCGTCTTAAATTTTTTAAGTACGGCTCTGGTACCGCACTGAAACAACATGTAAAATAATTTAGGTACAAAATTACCTAAACCCAGTATTACGGATTTGTGATCCCTAGTAGGTTTCCAAAAACGCCTTTAGTTAACAATAGAAAAATAAAAATCCGTCTGGCTGTACCAATTTAGGGTTTAACGCCTAATTCATTACATATTGATTGAAAAACAAACCAAGTCTTTTCTGAGCTCAGAAAGCTCACATCGGTGGTTTTTATATCACGTGAGCTTCCACCGGTGATACTATGACGTCTCCATTGCTTACCGTTTTACTTGTGAGCGATATAGATATCGTTGTTAATCAACTCGGTAATTTTAAGTTAATTCAAAGACAGGGTTGGCTTCATATTTTAGCGGAATAATGTTGGATGTATTTCCAACAATATGCCTAATGTGTATTTTGAAAATAATATCTGAAAGGGATATACAGTACGATAACCTGAAAGATGGCGTCATTCAGGAAAAGTATTCGGAAGATTAGCACGAAAATACGTAGAAGTCGCAATGAGGAAAATATTACTCACGTATTTGCAAGAGATCTAGGATTGAATTAATCTTTAGTGAATAGAATATAACGTCGGTTTACAAGCAAAACACGTCAGATTTTATTTATTTTTGACTTATTTACATCATTTGACTGGATTTTTTCCGCTCTATGCACTGGTAAAATCTTCTATGTCCTCTAAAAATTATAACCTTATTTTTAAATTATTTTCATAATAGCATTATTTTGTTCAGGAAAAATACATTAAGTGACTTTTTAACAAATCTGACTGTGTTTTGCTTGTAAGCCGTCGATTAAAGGATTATAAAATGCATCCTTAGATATCCTAGGTAGTAATGTGAGTTGGGTAAATACCCAGTGGATAGGTAAATAAATTGTGGGTATATACCCGATATTTTTTCAAGAGATATTTACCTACCCAAAAACATGTTTGTTGGTTATATTATAACACATGGCGACAAATATGTCATAAAGCACAAAACAGGTGATATTATTTGTCAAGTCATATTATTCAAGCTTTGTTTAGTAAAATCAGCAAAGAAAAGAAAATCAATGTTTCTCTGAAACTGGCTGTAAAAACACAATGGGGAAGATTTGTTTAGCCTAGAGAGCCTTCGCCTAAATAAAAGTGTTCTACAAACACTAGCGATAAGTGACGAAGTATCTCTAACACTATCAAAACAACTAAAAACTGTATTAATTGACGACTCTATATTTTGGGTGCAAGTAGAAAATGATAAATATTTTGAGGCCAATCGTTGATCTTATAACAAAGCTCAAATCCAATAAACTTCTGATTAATGTCATTTATTCTCAACTGAACAATCTATAAAAAGTTCTGATTTGCAACCTCAGTCTCCACTGAAAAAAGTGGAGGAAACTATGGTACTGAAAAAATGAACAAAAGAAAAGATTTTGCAACCATGTCGGATCCATCCTCCCAAGGTCATCAATCGACTGCAGAAGCAATAATGGATGCCATAGAATTTATAATTGACACAGCTCCAAAAATGAGATTGGCACTAAAAATGTAGCAGATTATAGAGATAAGGAAGGCCTATGGTGGAAAAGGTACATCTGGGAAAGAATGGAAGAGATCAAACCTCTTACTTGGTGGAGAGGTATCCGTGGCACAAATAAACTAGCAGCAGACGTTGCAATTAGGATTCTGGGTGCACCTGTAACTTCTACTGATACTGAACGATCCTTTAGTATACTTTCAGCTGGATTCATATTAAAAAAAAGAAATCGATTGACTACAGAAAGAGCTGCCAAAATTACTTAGCCTACAATTGGTCATTTCTAATTTCTAACCAGTCTGATTCATACAATTCAGATATTGTGAAATAAATGTTTTAATATCAATAAATATTTTTCATACCAACTGCTTCAATTTAATAGATACAGTCTGTTCGCTATACTTACGCGGGTTTCGGTATAAAATTTTTATGAGTATTTCCAGGTAAGTACCCGAAAGTTTGACCTGTTCTTTGGGGAAATATTAACTGGTTAAATGAAATGAAAAATAATGTACAACTTTTTAATTAAATAATAATCTAGTCTAATGTGGCTATTATAAACCTAATAATAATTTTATATTACACTTCACACAGAAAATATGGTCTATGTATAAGACGGTTATTTAGCTCAAATAAAATACCCGCAAAAATAAATACCTGGATATTTTACATCACTAATCCTGAGTTCTCTTAAAGAGCTACTTAGAACCAGTGAGCATCATTTCCAGCACAGAGATTCTTATGTACGAACTCGACTTGATACGCGTCGAGTAAAGAGAGATATTACATAAGAATCGTAGTCTTAGAATCCCACTGCAGGTACCTATTACCAAACAAACATTAAAAAAAAAAAAAACTGATAATAAATCTGATCTGCACGATACATGTTCAACTGTAAAAATCCCATTTTATTGCATTAAATCCGATAAGAGAAGGCAGCTTTTTACATAATAGAATCGTATCGGACGCACCTCATTACGAATTACTGAAATAACCATAAAAATAAAAATGATAGTATGGCATTCGAGCGCCGTGAATACGTTCAATTTACATTTTAGTAACGGTTTAATATTATTAATGAAGATAATGTGAAAATAACGTCGGAATGCATTATTTTCAATGATCTTTATTTTTTTCACGCTTCGTGTAACCGATTTTTTGATTGTCATAATGAATTTAAATGGTAAATAAAATACGAAAAATTTCAATTAATCCGATTTGTGGGAAAACAAATTCAATAATTGAAGAACTCACTTTTATGTGTTAAATCACTAGAATCGTAATAATTATGAGTTTAAATTTAAAGAAAAATTATCACTATTTCCAGTTTTAGAGTTATTGAATATAGACCGTCAGATAGTGACAGATTGGCTCTTGCGGATAACACATGGAAAATTCCATTTTCCT